AATGTATTCACAGAAGGAATCTAAATCTTATATAATTTCCTTTCTTCCCACAAGCACATGGGGTTTATTTTTTACATCATCAGACATCCCTATTAATAATGATCAAGCACTGAACATAAAGGCTGGTGTTACTTTACTAAACGCCTTGTTGCCATGGGAACTGCTCCACCAATCAACACAAGTTCATGCTAAAATATTTGATTTAGACTGTATTTGAACTGTTTTTAATGTCTGATATGATCTTGGAGCGTGACTAACAGATATAATATCTAAGCATATTTACTTAGTATAACCATGTAAGAATGTCCAGACAGTCTGTATGAGCTGACATTTAATATTTGTGCAACAATGTCACAAAATTGGTTGGAATGGTCCGGCTTACTTGGCAAGCTGCATGACGTTTCTATAACAGCTGTAAAGAGAGCTCTCTGCAGCTGTCCGGTACTTGGCTTTATATTTGGGTCCAACTGTGTGAATTATAAAACGTGCAGCCAAGTTGAAACCCTCTGTCATTTTTGCTTCACCGGTCCGACATCCTGTAAAAATATACACACATGCATATCACTCCAATAAAAGCGATACGAAATGAGATACCAACAAAATGAGATAATATCTATTCCAAAACCGAGTATCAAACACAAACAGCATTTAAAAACACTAATAGTTTAAGATCATAGTTGGATGTCAATTCTTCATCTGCTATCCTGGTAGTGCCCCCTACCTTTCAGTTTGAGTAGTTCATCCCTTAGTTCAGGTCCAGCATATCTATGGATACTGTCTGATACAGGGTTCTTGTCCGTTAGTGTCTCATTACTTGTATTGACGATTGCAGTGCAGTTTAACAGTGCCACATCTCCATTACTGTAAAATAAGGGAATGATATAAATCAGCATATCAGATACAGAACATCATATAAGCCATGAAAAAGCTGTGTGAACAAATGTAGCATAAATAACATTGTTGTTATTGTGAAATAAAACGGTTAAAATTATAGGTAATTGAAATAAAGCTGAAATAAAATCAAATATAATGAATGAAAAACATTTAAGAATTATTTTAAGAATTAATTTAAGAACTAATATTAGACTAAAACTGAAAAAAACCTACCAAAAAAAAAAAAGCACAATAAACAGCTAAAACTAAATGAAACTTAAAATATGAAAATAAAAGCTAATAAATACTATTAATACTAAAATAACACTTTTTTATTTTAAAACGTTCATTTTATTTTATAACGTTAAGTGTTAATATAATTATGCCATCACGTGGAATGTTGAATTTTTTGTTTTCAAAAAACAAATGATCAAAAAATATATATTGTTTTGCAGACATACATGGAAATCAGATGAATGACAGAATAGTCCCTATAAACAAATCCTGCAAGCATAAAACTATGCGTACTGCTGAATTCTATTCCTGCCTCAATTTCCAGAAGGACTGGTTTTATTAATTGGACTTCATAGAGAAGTGCCACGCAATGAATTTCCCCTTTCTTAAAAAAAGAGAAACTATGAATTCAGAGAGGGAAAAAAAGCTTAATCCTGCCCTAAAAAAGCTATATTGGTCTGAAAGCCAAAAGAACCTCTCAGACAGTCACGTGATTGAGCTATAAGGGGGATTTGTGTGCACGAAGGAATGACTAACAGACGTGAAGATCATCATAATATTTAGGTCTAAATAACTAAACGATTAAACTATTAAACAATCTTAAACTATTGAATTAAGCAAATCAGTACTTATATTTATAGATAATCTTGAGGCTTAGGCTTTTAGGACTAAAAAAATTTTATGTAGTCTGTTTATTAAGCGATTTTTGTTGAAATAATGCAGAAATTTGTGGAGAAGAACAAAACAGAATGTTTAAGAAATGTCATTGAAAATAACACTCACAATAATACAATCTTGCTGTTGATGTCTTGTCTGAAGGGGAAAGGGGACTCGAAAGAATTGAGCTGATTGGTCAGCTGGTCATCTTCCTCTGTTAATTGGTTTTCTCCATCCACCTCGTCCTGGACTCCCTGAGACTGGTCCCACGTGGGGAGGTTCTGGACCTCCACAAACTGGGAACGAGCTCCCAAGGGATCCATGCTGTAGCTTCACTGGGCAATTTTGAACTGAAAAAGAACACAGAGGAGCATTTACACAGAAAGAGACTGTAGTTTGACCTGGGCTATACTGGCATTGCATCAGTTTAAACATGTAAGATGGTGGTTACAATGCCAGACTTCATTGAATTTCAGGCAGATAAATGGTGTATGAAATTACTTTGGATCTATGCTGTATCTTTTAAAACAGTGCTTCGAGGCCACTATTGTCCAAGACAATACTTGAAGGTTAATTTAAATGTTATAAATTGTAATTTCTAGAATTATGCATTTTAAATAAATGCTATTATTTTAATATAACCCATTTAAACAATAAAGTCATCTTGGAAGTCTGCTGAGGCCCTCTAGTGGGCCCCAGGCCCTGGTTGAGAACCAATTTAGTAAAAGTGTTGTATTTTTTAAACCCACATATACATGCAAGTGTTTCACACTCAACTGATGTTTACAAAAAACATATGATATTATTATGATTATTGAAATTATATTTTAATACTGTGTGGCGCTTTCTTCGAAATGAATTCACATAAATCGGAAAGCCACAATGAAACAAAATAAATAAATTCCCAAACTTTCAAAATGCAACAATAATTGTAAAAGCATTCAGCAATACTTTCAGTGCCAGCTGCAGTATGAGAAGTGGAGTGTTCATGAACCTAAAACTGACTTTCAAGCACAACAGAGAGGCTCTATTTTTAATACTGTGTGGCGCTTTCTTCGAAATGAATTCACATAAATCAGAAAGCCACAATGAAACAAAATAAATAAATTCCCAAACTTTCAAAATGCAACAATAATTGTAAAAGCATTCAGCAATACTTTCAGTGCCAGCTGCAGTATGAGAAGTGGAGTGTTCATGAACCTAAAACTGACTTTCAAGCACAACAGAGAGGCTCTAGCAGTGCAGCCAGACAGGACTTCAGGAACAGATAAGATATTCAGCAGAAATGAGATGCATGAGTAAAGGTCGACTGGCTAAATTAGATTTCAACAACAACAACAAAGCAATGAGTTTGTTCAAATACATCAAAGTTTCATCTCGACTGCAACAGGAACATACAAACAATGCAACACAACCCTGTTTCAAAGAGGATATAAAGAAAAGCAACACGTCACACTGACTCTGACCACACAGGTTTATATCGACTTGATGAAGATGCAAGATTATAACCACCATCAATCACAAAGACCAGCAACCTACCAGATGTCCTATGAAGCAGCTACTGCAAACACCAAGCCACATTAGCTCGAACTACTCCGTTAAAGATCACTGTCCTCTTCCTGTGCTTCCGCTTTTACATGAGCCATTGTTAAAATGTGATTTTAGCTGCTTGTGGTCAACACATCGTGTTTGCAACATTCAGCGAGTTTCCTGATCAGCTGATTCACGAGGGCAAAACTCATCACTTCCGGGAATGCAGTAGGGGCAGTGGCTATGTTCTTCTTCTTTTGGTTTTATGGCGGGTTGCGAACCAACTTCGTAGGTGCATACCGCCACCTACTGTGACGGAGTGTGGAGAGAATGTACCATTTCTCACCTAAATCTTCAATTCTGTTCATTATTCCACAATTCTTAATAAATCTCATGATTGCACTTATTTATTTTCCTGTATTTGGACCATCATTCAGAATACTACTTAATGAAAATTCTTTAACTCCTAAGGATTGTAATTCATCTCTAAGTTCATCCCTTTCTCTTCCATATGCTGTACATACCATCACAACGTGTTCCACTGATTCCTCTGTTAAACAAACATTACATAGACCAGTATTATGTTTCCCTGTAATGTATAGTGTTTGGTTAAGATTTGAGTGTCCTGTTTGTATATGTGTTAAAATGACTTGTTCCCTTCTACTTATGTTATTAATTATTTTTCTTCTCTTTATACTCCTTTGTACTTTATGATAATGCCTACCTGTTTGACATGAGTCCCAGTATATCTGCCATACAATATTGCATGCATTTAATATGAACTGTTTTCCTTCTATTCTGCTGAGAGCAATATTTATACTCGGATCATTCATATTTAAGGATTCTTTAGCCATTTCGTCTACCTCTTCATTACCTTGAATTCCCACATGTGCAGGTACCCATATACACCGAGTAATTATCCCTATCGGTTTAATACTATATAGTGTAATCATGATTTCTGTTAAAATGTCGTTTCTATTTGATTGCCATGATTGTAAACTCATAAGAGCTGCCATTGAGTCAGAGCATATTATTACTTTATCCGGTCTTACTTCATATACCCACTCTAATGCCATAAGGATAGCTACCATCTCTGCTGTATATACAGAAGTACCACCCGTAATTCTTCCAGCCTTCCTAACCTGAAATTCTGGAATGAAAAATGCAGCACCTGTCCTTCCAGTTTCTATGTTCTTTGATCCATCTGTGTAAATTTGGAGAAATGAATAATGCATACTTTTTATATATTCTTTATCATACGCTTTTAAATGAAACCCATCCCCCGTGCCCTTAATTTCTTTATGTACGTTTAAGTCAACTTCTGGTTGTTCTAATAACCAAGGTGCTATTGGAGGACAGTGGCTATGTTGTCGATCCGTGTAGAAAACGCACAGACATATACAATATTGTAACATAGACTTTAATCGACGTTATAGTGCCATCGCTAAATTAAAATAAGCATAATAAAGTATAATTAATAAATAAATTAAATAAAGTTGAATTATGAACACATTTGATGCGCCTCGTGGACAGCAACATGACTTCGCATTCTCAGACCGAAGTAATCGATACTATACGCATAATTCATAAGAACAGATAAATAAAATGCATAAAGTAGTGTGAATAATGAGGAACACGTATTTTAGAGTGGCACAAAATGACTATAAAAACATTCTGGCAACATTTTGTGAAGTAGCATCGTAGTTCCGCTCGGTAATCTACCACTTTTGTCTTTACTTGATGTCCCACATGCGACTGAAAAGCATGTCGACGTTCTCCACATCCACAGAAACACTGTTTTCATAAAAGACTGCAGATACAAAATACATCTAATCGATAAAGTATGTAACTACATTTCCTATACGCAGTTGCTTATTTTGAACTTTGTAGCTTACTAATATCTGCTTATCTCTTGCTCTCTAAATACGATTAAACGGACTGCATGTGGTTCACGCTGCTGTGAAGCGTGGTGTTGGAGCATTAGTTGCTCACTTTCATTTTATGGACTGACCGTTAAATGAATATACATTACAATTGGCAATCATAACTTTTGAAGGTAGTTACGAGCTTTGTTTGGCGCTAAAATACCATTAAACAACGTCACAATCACTGTTGATACAGGATGAACATGAAGTGACTGAGCATTTACAATCTATATATAATATAATTGAATTTTTCAGCAAGCTCAAGATTATGGTTTTACACATTAGCTGTTAACCAATAATTGTGATTTTTGTATTTATTATAAGGATCCATGCACACAAAATACAACAACATTAAACTCATAATTACAGATATGCTTTAACTACTAGATAAATACGCCGATTTATAAAGTATGATTGGTCTCATTCTAAATATGCGCTCACATGACAAACTGTGCAGTTTGCTAGATTAAAGATTCAACACACACATCTCACCCCACTACCTACTGTTGTGTGTATGTGTGTGTCTACAGCCTCTGGCTTGCCATGGGTTTAACTAAGCAGTACCTGCGCTATGTGGCGAGTGCTGTATTTGGAGTGATCGGCAATCAGAAGGCCAACATCGCATTTGTGACCCTTAGGGGAGGTGAGAAGGGTCGATATGTTGCTGTGGGAGCTTGTGAGCATGTGTTCATATGGGATGTCCGCAAAGCTGAGAAGGTACTTGCTTTTTAAATGGTTTAGAAGATTGCTTGGTACATTTACTCATCAGTTTATTTAAACTCATAAACATTGCACCTACTCCTTTCAATTCTCAGGTTCTTATACTTGAAGGTAAAAAGCATGAGGTGACATACCTGTGTCCTTCTCCTGATGGCGTCCACATAGCGGTAGGTTATGAGGATGGAGGTGTGCGCATCTTTAGTCTGCTCAATGGCGAAAGCAACATCTCCTTCAGTGGACACAAATCAGCTGTCTCAGTTATAAGATATGATGCACTGGGTGCTCGTCTCGTCACTGGCTCCAGAGTAAGACCAGAGTTCATTTTAAAACAGTTTTTTTTTTTTTTTACTGATTTTCAATTTTGCATGAAGTAAAATCATTTTCTTTGTTGTTGTGTTTCAGGACACAGATGTTATTGTGTGGGATATCATCAATGAGTGTGGTCTGTACAGACTCAAAGGACACAAAGATGCAATCACACAAATTTTGTTTTTGGAGAGCAAAAACCTGCTGATTACAAGGTAAATCAGTCTGTATATTTTATTGAAATGAATTCAACACTTGAAAATACTCAACATTTTATATTATATTATATACATATACGTGCATGGACACATCATTTCCCATAATATAAGTCGCTTTTTTATCATTTGAGATGTGCTGTGACTTAATGTCAAAAACGTAAAGCATTTGTATTTTTGCCAAAAGTGAGTAGTACATGAGGACAAGTTTATTTGTATAGCACATTTCCCACATGCTAGTGGTTTCACTTTAAATAAATTTTTACTTTGATTACTGCTGTTCTGTACTAAATACTATTAAATTGAAAGGATTTGAGTGTGGGGAACTAAAATAGTGCATAGTGTTTGTAATGCTTGTAACCGTTTCATTTTATTTACTGTGTTTTACATAATTTTTTTAATATAATGATGAAATGTGACTTATAAATACACTGAAGCGACACTGATTACATTTTCAGGAACGACTGCTTTGTTTTATATAATACTTCATGCTGAAAGAATAAAGTAACTGGATGTGTACCTTGGCGCAGCAATGTAGTAATGCGCTGCTGATCTGATTCTGTGTTTCTCATGTTTTCTCAGCTCTAAGGACAGTTTTGTAAAGTGGTGGGACTTGGACACACAGCATTGTTTCAAGACCATGGTGGGGCATCGCACTGAGGTAAATAGGATCACTGGACACTGTTGAGACTGTTTTGATCTTTCTGAAATATACAACACAACACACAATGCATGTTCTTGCTGCTTTGATATCAGCATAAATCAATGTACTGTAAATGATTAGGGGGTTGTACTGTAAATGATCTGAGCCTAGGTGGCATTTAGTATCTTGAAGAAAATCGCACATAAGGTGTTTTCTTACTTTAATTTTGGAGAATGAGTCTCCAGCACAATCTAAATATCTGTTAGTGTTGTAGTACAGTGCAACATTGTCCAATCTCTGTAGGTATGGGGAATGGTCCTGTTGAACCAGGAGAGTAGGTTGATTACAGGGTCTGCTGACAGTGAGCTCAGAGCCTGGGACATTCAGTACATTGAGGAGGTAAGGCAATATCACTCATGCTGTGGCAAATGGTTTACGTTGTAGGCTGAATTAAGTCTTGAATTTGATCTTTGGTCTCTTATATAGAGAATTGAAACTGATCTCATGTATTCAGAATGACTTTAAAGATTTTTCACAGGGTAAAGAAGTGGGGGAGCCACAGGAAAAGAAAGTCAGAACTCTTCTTGAGAACGAAGAGGATGATGAGGAAGGACTTGACGAAGAGCCAGAAGAAGTAATATTTCTTCCAGTATTCAGTGGATATTAGTGATTTGACATGACGCAAAACACTTCGTTTAGTTTAAGAAAAAGGGTTTCCTTCAAATATTCATCAAAGATCTGATTTCTGTCTACAGAGAATTCTCAGCTGTAAGAAAGCTGGTTCTGTTCTGAGGGAAGCCAGAGACAGGGTAGTGTCCTTGGTCACAGACGCCAAAGCTAAAGTGCTTGCATGCCATGTAAGTATATTTCATAATTGTGTATACTAGTGTTTCACTTCCTACTGAAAAAGGGTTCCACTCTCTTTAGCTTGGTCGGTATTGTTGGGAAGTCCCTAATTTAAAGGGTTCATATGATGTTGCAAAAAAGAACATTATTTTGTGTATTTGGTGTAATGAAATGTGTGATTCAAAAACATGAAAACCCATTATAAACGAGGCATTCATTGCATCCAGTGGGGACATAATTATGGATTATAATGACTTATACTGTCTTTTTACGTGTTGCGTTGCATCGCGCCGCGTAAACATAAAACCATGTCTGCATTTGTGATCGGAGAAATGACAAACAACAAGCCCTACTCTACACTGCCCAAAAAACTTGCTTTAAATATATAAAATATAAAAACTCTTTAAATATAAAAAAACGTACTTACAGTCTTTGAGTCAGAACAGCCGGCATTGTAGTCTGCTCTACCAGGATCAGGAAACGGTCCTCCATAAAATGTGCTGCCCACATCTGAATATTTGGGTTGAAGTGTTCTGGAACAGTGTTGTAAATACAATTTAACCACTGATTTTTAGTTGTGTCCTCTTTTGGAAGGCCAAACATAGTAGTTTCGTTTTCACAACGAAACACAGCGTCACACACGGCGGCCTAGAGTGAGCAGAGGCGGGCGGGCTTGAGAACGGCGCGGCCGGTGGGTTCGATGAAAGGTAGCGTCCGGCGAGTTTGCAGCAACCACATGTGACGACCCCGGACTAGTCCTTTACAAGAAGTATCTTCTTTTGTCAGGTCCACCTTGCAGGTCATTCGTACCATGGGATGTGAATATGCTCTCTGCTCGTTATTTGTTCCTGGAGACAGACAGATTATCTTAGGAACAAAGGTACATAACTATTAACTTCTCTATCAACAATCAATAAAGAGATAGTTCACCCAAAAATTAAATTGTCATAATTTGCTTAACTTCATGTCTTAACTTTATTACAAACCTGTATGACTTTCTTCTGTGGAACACAAAATGAGATGGTTTGCAGAATGTCTGCTCTGCTCTTTCCCATTAAAAAAAGGTAGACCATGACTATGGGCTATCAAGCTCAAACTAAAAAAAAGCCATTGTGCCAAGTTGACTGTAATTGGCATCAAATGCCATTAGTGTCTTGTAACCGAACATGAGCCACCAACTTTGAATATGCATGAATGAGATTTGAATGAGACGTTTCGTGAATGCTAATTAAGATCCTGAAAGATCTTCTGTTGCAAAACTTTTAGTCCATATATCCTTTCCTCAGAAAAATTAATTTTGCATTATTGTTAGCAGCTTGTTCCGTATTGTGGTATTTATGTGTCTTCTGTCACAGAGTGGGAAGATTCAGATTTTCGACCTGGCCTCAGGAAGCCTTCTAGAGACGACTGATGCCCATGATGGAGCTCTTTGGTCCATGTGTCTCTCTCCAGACCAGGTATAATATCGATCTCTCTGTTGAATGACAAAGAGCTTCTCATCCCTACAAAACACCACAGTCTGTGAATACATTGAATTCCTGACTCTATTCCAAAGACTTTGTAAGCCATCAGCAAGGATTTTAGCTTTATGTGAACATATTTGACTCTTGATTTGTGTGTGTTTATACAGAGAGGGATTGTAACTGGTGGTGCTGACAAGACTGTGAAATTCTGGGACTTTGAGCTCATAAAGGATCAGGACTCTGGGAAGAACAAGTGAGTTATTATCTGTGATCACAAACCATGGCTCTCTCATCCTGATTTCTCCATCTCTCTTTCTCTACTTGGCTTTAATGTATTATTGCTTTGTGTAATCCACAGGAGACTAACGGTGAAGCACACACGCACCCTACAGTTAGATGAGGACGTGCTGTGTGTGCGCTACAGTCCTGACCAGAGACTGCTGGCTGTCTCTCTTCTCGACTGTACGGTGAAGATCTTTTACACAGACACGCTAAAGGTAAACCACAAGCACAGCATACAGCATTACAATACTTTTCTCATACCACAACACTTGGTATCTCTTGTATGTCAAATCCATACATAAATCCAATGCTTTGTAAAAAATAAAATAAAATGTAAAAAATGGTTGAGTATCCAAAAAAAGACCACTGTTATACTTCAGTTACATTTACTGAGAAAAAAAAAAGCAGCGCTCACAATGAATGAAATATTTCAATGCTTGACATTTAATTGTAATTTTATTTGAGGACTTGCATTAACTGATCTTCAGTTCATGTGTTTGTGCTTCGCATGATATATGTTACTGAAATTAAAAAAGTCTTGAAGGTTTTATAGGCCTGATTGATGGATGAGATTTCAATCATTCAATAATTTTCTTACTCAATAATTATCATATATTTTAATAATTGTTTAAATTAATTAAATTCTTTAAAAAAATTACATTTAAAATTGTAATTATTTTTAAAGCTATTATTTTGGTTATTTTTCTAAGTAAATTATTACTTACCCAATTTCTCTATTCATCTACAGTATTCTCATACTTGTAGGAAAAGATATTTAAAATGTGCCCTATTGAAATTTATATTTAATTTATATTTCATAAGTATTATATTTAGTAAATTCATTTTCATTTTATGGACCGATGTAGCAGAACACATGATTGCAATTACCTGTGAAATTGCAATTCAGTAAGTTCCAATTCCTGTCAATCAATTCAACTTCCTGTTGGGTGTGGGCAATTGAATTCAAATTGTACATGTTTAATACAAACAATAAATGGGGCCACAGTGTCTCAGAAATTTGTAAGCACATTAAATAACCAATCACCACTCGTATAATATGATGCCCTCATGCCTACTGTCCAACTCTATCCAAAACAACAGCAGTGCTTTACAGGACAGATATGAGAGCTGTGCAGAATAATAAGAGATTTGCCTCAACTTCCTCTAGTTCTTCCTGTCGCTATATGGACACAAGCTGCCCGTTCTATGCCTGGACATTTCACATGTAAGTGCATTGACACATCCTGCAAGTCATTCTGGCGGATGGCGTAATTATGCTCAAATGTTGTTTGTGGGTTTCTGTGCGTGTTCTGCAGGACAGCGCTTTAATAGCCACAGGCTCAGCAGACAGAAACGTGAAGATCTGGGGTTTGGACTTCGGAGACTGTCATCGCTCTATGTTTGCACATGACGACAGGTAATAAAACACTGCTGCTTGTATAATGACACATTTAGTTGTACGGTTTTTAGTTATATTGTTAGTGAAAGTTATGATACCGGTTGATGACAAGTACAGTGATTTCAGTGTTCGGTCAGGTGTTGCTTACCTACGGTGTTGACATCCCTCCAGCGCCTGTGAGCTGTAGTCGCTGGATGACATCAGCCCAGATGGTCATTATTTGTCATCCACTGTTTTTTCCCTGTTTCCCTAGTATCATGTTTCTTCAGTTTGTCCCTAAAACCCATCTGTTCTTCACTGCGGGAAAGGACAGAAAGATCAAGCAGTGGGACGCTGATAAGTTTGAGCACATCCAGACGTTGGAGGTGACCTTCTCTGATAGTTGGACTGCTTTCAATAGACATTTTTCCATAGCTGGAATGAGTTTTCCAAAGGTCGCTGTTATATTGAAAGGATTAGAGTTATAATAAGAGCCCAGTCAATATGGAGCAGAGGCTGATTGCATTACGTATGCCGCAGTCTGCTTTTGCTTAAGCCCTAATCAATGTAATCACAGACAAAGATGTATTGGAACGGTTGCATTATTGCAGACCCTCTCATACTCTTTGACTGTATTTTTGAACTTTGACCCTTGGATGTTCCTCAGGGTCATCATCGGGAGGTCTGGTGCCTGGCCATCAGCCCCAATGGAGACCACATCGTCTCCTCGTCTCATGATAAGTCCCTGAGGCTGTGGGAGAGAACCAGGGAGCCCATCATCCTGGAGGAGGAGAAGGAGATGGTGAGTGCTTGGTTTTTCAGCAGAATGTCACACAGCAGAAAACAGGTTTGATGGTATTAAATCTACAAATGTACAATCTACGTTTACACCTCCAACTTGCCACATTAATATTAGAATATCTGATCACATCATAGTTGTGCAAGTTAATTTTCAGCTATTTTACTATTTTACATTGGCTTCAAACTAATATCTATATTAGTTAATCTATAAAAACAAACATCTACTCTATACATGGCAATAGAATATTTTTTGCTGACTCTGTATATTTTATATATGTATATTTTATCTCTGTAAATATTTTTCTCCTCAGGAAAGGGAAGCAGAATTTGAGGAGTCGTTAGCTAAAGGTGATGAACCTGTGGTAAGTGGTTCTCTTAAATCCTAGAGAACAGTTATGTATGTTTATGTCTCTGCGTGGTCTCAGTGTTTCCTCATGTCTCGCAGGTCCCTGGAGAGACTAAAGGAGAGGCAGAGCCTGCTGGGAAGAAGACCATTGAGACAGTGAAAGCTGTGAGTCTGCCGAACTGTACAGATAAAGAGCTCCTCTCTTTTAAATTCAGTAATGGAGAAATGACACTTGTGTTCTGTTTCTATAGGCTGAGCAAATAATGGAGGCTATTGAGCTCTATAGAGAGGAAAGTGAAAAGCTGGAGGAGCACAGAGCCGCTTGCAAGGCAGCGGGGAAGGAGGTATGATGTTTTCTAGACACTCAAAGCCCATTAAGAGAGGAAACACAAAATGTTATTGTAGTTCTCTTTTTGTCTGCACATAATTAGGACTGGAGCTTGAAGAGTTCACAAAATATGGATTTATATCTAATGATGCTGGTGCTTTACAGACCCTTCTGTGCTTTTCTTGTTTGCAGTTACCACCCCCTAAGATGAACCCCATCCTTGTCGCTTTTGGAAATATCTCTGTGAGCGTGTGTTTTAATTATTAGCACTGGGCTTGTTTGGTCAATAATTTAGGGGTGCGCAATGTATCAGTACCATATCGGTCAATAGCCAATTAGTGAATTTTTTAAGATATATCAGATGATATTATATATTTTATTGTACATGCACATTTCCTTTATTTTGATATTTAGATTTACCTTTGCTGTCATGTACTGCTCACTTAAAGTTAATCTTTAATATTACACCACACTAAAGAGCCAAATTAATTTTTTCATTTAAAAGTCTCTTTAAAAACTGAGATTCATCACTCGTATTTACTGATGGTTGCCATTATATTTGCAGCCCTCTCGATATGTTCTGGAAGTTATTAAGAAGGTGCGGTCCAGGTAAGAGCTCTTCCTCAACCCAGTCAAATGTATTCTACATTTTCCCATCTGTTATATACCATTATATTTTATGGGTCAGTCTGATTCTCAGCACTGTTTTTCTCTTTAGTGAGCTGGAAGTGTCTCTGCTGGTGCTGCCGTTTCCTTACGTCCCAGATCTGCTGAAGCTCTTCAATGGTTACGTACAGCAGGGCCTGGAGGTGGAGCTAGTGTGCCGCTGTCTCTTCTTCCTGCTCAGGTACTCCTCTGTAGCTATTGCTTTTCATATTACGGTTTCATTTACATTTATTCATTACATTTTACCATTTTATTAAATTATACTTTCATTAGCATTGAGTTGATTATTTTCCTAGGCCCATGTGATTTTGCTCCTGACTAACAGTTCTATCATTTACCATTTTCCTAGAGTCCATTTTGGTCAGATCACCAGTAATCAGATGCTGCTGTCAGTCATTGATGAGTTAAGGACCAACACGATCTCTAAAGTGCGAGAGATCAGGGTGAGTACCGCTTTCAGTACTGGAAACAGGATGGAACTAATGTGATCACACCTCTCATATGATCAGATTGTGTAAGCCTATGTATTCTCATTTACCCATGTTTTCAGGATGTCCTGGGTTTTAACAGTGCGGGTCTTCAGTTCCTGCAGCGTGAGATTGAGAGCAAAGAGGACGTAATGTTCTTTGCTGATGCCACAGACCGCTTTGAAGAGAAAAAAAGAAAGAGAAGGAAACGTGAAAGAGCCGTCCTTACAGTCACATGAAACTGATGTGCTTGTCAACTGATATAACAGACTACTGCTTTGTGCTTTTACCATCCTGAAGAAGCATCATGCTGATGTTTTTATAAGTTAATGTATCATTTGCACCTGTCTAAAGTCCATAAAAGTACATTTCTCCACAAATCAACTTAGTGAGGCTATTTTGTTTTTTATAATATTTAAGTGTGTGTGTTTGAATGGAGAGTCCAGGCCAAAGCTTCAACCAATTCCATGGCCATTATGATGATTTTCATTTGCATCTTTCTTATACTGTAGCTGCATGCACTGCAAAAAATCCTGTTCACCATTATTTTTGTTAAATTGGCTATGAAAAGTTTTCAAGAAGAAACACATTTCATGAAAACAACATGTTAAGAAAATGTAGACTGTTCTAAGGATTTTTAGATATTTAAAAGCTTTTTTTTTAATGTAAGGACCAAAGTTAGGCTTCTTACTGGCTGGTTAATACAAGTGCTGCTACTGAAAAGTGAAGCAGCAGCACCACTAAGGAGAAGCAGTGTTGTTTTATAATTAAATCTTTCATGTGCATCAAATGATGGAGTGGCACAAATAAATCATGTAATTTTCTTATGTAAAAGCATATATAGAAAATATGCAGAATTTAAGATTGAATCAGAGTAATCTGGGACATTTTTTTTTGTTAAATTGGCTATGAAAAGTTTTCAAGAAGAAACACATTTCATGAAAACAACATGTTAAGAAAATGTAGACTGTTCTAAGGATTTTTAGATATTTAAAAGCTTTTTTTTTAATGTAAGGACCAAAGTTAGGCTTCTTACTGGCTGGTTAATACAAGTGCTGCTACTGAAAAGTGAAGCAGCAGCACCACTAAGGAGAAGCAGTGTTTTATAATTAAATCTTTCATGTGCATCAAATGATGGAGTGGCACAAATAAATCATGTAATTTTCTTATGTAAAAGCATATATAGAAAATATGCAGAATTTAAGATTGAATCAGAGTAATCTGGGACATTTTGGGCACTTTTTTTGATTGTGGAAGAGAGAAATGTATGCATCAGATCTTTGGAGCCCCACATTACCCAATGTCCCAGATTAACCTCAATTACCCAACATTAATGCCCATATGTTTTCTGTTATGCTTAATTCTGTGGAAAAGATGAAGAAGTGAGTCAAGACATATTCTCAATCTCACTAATCTCTGCAAGCCTGAAAAAACACAAGAGCTTTCAATAGGGATGAAATAATTAAATGAGTTCAATCTTTCTGTACGGCTGAAGTGGTGAGATCCACACTTGACTTTACTGAGCTCATAACCTGGATTAAATTTACAGTTAAAAGCTTGTACGTATGTGGGATTCATAATTCACCACCTGGAAACTGATGCTGCTTATTTCAGCGACATATTTCACTCCTATTTAGTGCTCCTCGGTCTTAACAGCGATTCTCACCAACCTCTCACACCTCATGTTCCTGCTGTGTGTTAACATCCTAATCATCAGTGTCTTGGAAATAATGAAACAAATCCCTCAACACACTCCTTTTCCGACCTGTTCAATCTAACAGTAGTGGAAAAAAGCAAATGAAGTGTGTATTTATAAAGCCGTAAAAAGGCTTGCAGCATTTTATGAGACCGGTCTGGGTCTCAAAGCTATAAATGTCACACCTACCAATATTAAAAATTCCTCAGAAAAAAGTTGAAGTTAAACGCCTGAGAACATGTTCTGTGTTAATCCCCCTCGAACAGGACAAACTAATCAAACACTGCCGTGCTTTTATGGAAAAGCACATTAATTTAAACATGGCTACCACTGATAATGACTAGAGTCAGCATGTTGGAGACATCAGTCCTTCTCTCAAATCTATGAACCTATAACCTTTTAACCTCCTGCTTCAGTTGTAAACAGAACAGAATAATAGCTGTCTTGGTCTGAACCAATTTCAAAAACTATACAGTTGAGTCCAGAAATAATTTTGTTTCATACTGCGGCTGATATTTTTCATAGCAATAACAGAGCACTCATAACATCCACAGCATAGAGAGTGTGTATGAAATGTTCCTGACATCTCCTCGGTTCCCCAACGCTTGAGTCATCGGGCAGATTTACTGATCTACTGCTCGCTTTTCACCTCATAATATATTTTCCCCCTTTATTACTTTGACTGGACATCAGTGATCGTGCCGCTTCTCAATAAAAATAATGATTGTAAAAAATAAAAAGTGGGTGACTTTGTTTCGAGTTATTCTAATGTACATGAATGTGTCTCTCGATTTATTGCTATATCTCTTTTATATGAACATTACTTAATTATTACAACACATATAAACAATAACAAAGTACAAAAACGTCTTGACATTTGACACTGGACAATAAAGCAGGGCAACATATACAGCATATGCACAGTGGGATCGAAAACTGCATTTAGTGAAGAGGGGAAAAAAGTAGGAAAATTGATGTCAAGTGTGTATCAGTTGCCTGTCTATATCTTTATCCAAGTAAGCTTTAGTAGAGGACAGTTTTGGTTCTTCAACTACTGGTTTATGGGCCAAGAACTGGTCAAATGAATCCTAGATGAGGCTGAAACAGACAATCCCTTGGGGCTGTTCAGATGGTAACAGTGGTCAGATTTACCAGTAACCTATTCTATTTAACTTAGTTATTCTGCAGCTAATGACTTAAGATTATTACTAATTATTTATTAATCTTCAGTGGTTCCCAACATGGGGTCCACTTTATTATAAATATATAAATATTATAAATATATATTATATAAAAATTTAAAAATAAAATAAACAAGACCAATATAAAATATTTAAATGCTAGTAAATAATAACAATGTGTAAATTGTATTAAATTTAATAAATACATATATTATGTTAAATTTAGTTTCTTTTTTTAATCAAAGTTTAAATATGCTTTATGTTTAATTGTATGTAACCACATTAGTAAATACTCATTTATTTAATGTGGAATGACCACTGGGTGGCACCATTGCTTTTCCAAAAACGCTCTTCTGAGCTTTCAGTCACTGGCAAATCTCAAGATCAGCGATTTTGAGTGGGTAAATGGAAGTTGCTAATTGCTCACTGTTTTATCATTTGTAAATACCTGACCGTGCACACATCTTACTGAATGTAAAAAGATATCCACCTTTTTCTTGTCGTAAAAATGGGTGCGGCCATTTGTAAATTATATGGGTCTGGCTTCCGGTCTCTGCGTCCACTCCATCCAGCTATTTTTAGCCGAACAAAACAGTTCGTTTTGCTGCTTGATATTGAAATGTGTCGGTGTGTCTTATCATATTATTTTAATGTATTATCTTAATTATGAACACACTGGTTTGTAGTGCAAACAGTTTTACCGTTTACTGCAAGTTGTTATTCTCCTCGTTATTTACCTATAGCGGCTAATGAACCGGAAGTCTCACCCATAAGCTTACTTCCGCGTTGAAGAAGAAGGTGGATAGATAACCTCAAATCTATCAACCACCATTTCGCTATATGAATTACAGTGCATAGAGATGCAGAGACATACCTTCTCTCTCGTTCTTTTAATCTGTCTTTCTACCTTGCTTGCATTTTATTCACTCCCTCACCTTCATTTCTGGTTAGTTCTATCAGTTCCAGCTGGCAACCACCACATTTCAGTATCGAAAGGCAATTCAAACAGTCACCAGTGAATTCTCTCCCACCATGAAAATGATTTCAAACAATAACAGCTGACCTGTGGTCCAGTGTGTTTACTTTTAAATTGAGATAAAACAACCAAGAATGTTAGAATCTTAGAATGTAATTTTTGTGTCAGATGGTCAGGACTGCTCTCTTTTCTGAGCCACTACACACTGATTCACCAAAGGTGTGGAGAGTGATTGAGCCTTTGAAAGCGTCCCATTGCTATGTGAACCCCATTACAACCATGAACCCACACAAAGAGAGACATTTTTAAGAGCTCTCCCCAGAAATCCACACAGCTGATGTAATTAGTCATTTCAGAGTCATGAACTTCATAATACTCCCTATAAACAGACATTCAATCCTTTCCTCACTGTTCCATCCTTTCCTCACTGTTTATCCTAGTCTTTTACAATCCGTTCTGGACCACCATCTGTTTATCCTTCCCCAACAATAATGCTCCTATACTTCCACGGAGGAATGCAGTTCATTTGTCCAATTAAACAAGGAAAATAAATACAAATCGATTATGGACACAATGTCGAGATTTGTTCCCAAAACACTTTTACAACAGCACACAACTTTTAGATTTACGATGCAAATATTGCAGGGGTGATGAATGAAAAACATCCTTGACAAGTTTTTCAAAGGTTTGATCTACATCATCTAAATATATCCAGACATAAATCTGCATTACACAAGCAAAGCGACCTTCCGTTTGCCAGTAAAAGTTTTCCGTCACATACGTTAACATATTGACAAACATTACTGCTTTGCTAAAATATTTGATCAGTTCATATGATTATGTGATTTCAAAAGAAAAATATACAAATAGTAGCATGCTGGGCAATTATAGTAATAGCTTATTTTATTTCTTTATCTCAAGTCAAGTACCCACACTATAAATGTCAATCTTATTCAAATATTTAGGAGTAGCTGGGGTTACTCAAGGAAATCTAAAGTGATCTGGATGGAAGTAAATGTTGTTTCAGATGTCAGTGTAACCTCAGTTATAGATGTACACATAGCGGATGCACAAACCGACATATGGTGAAAATCAACCTGACTTTCTTCCCACTTTCCTAACTAATATAAAATGGTTGAATGCAACAGAGTCTGTCACACCCATGTGTTATTCACCCATTGTGCCTGCTTTGGCTTTTAATATATGTCTACAGAAAATGTATAGGCTATATATTACATTTTTTAAATATAAAAAAATGGAGATCGGGGCTAGTTGCCACACAGGGAAGTTGTCACAAAGGCTAGGCTATACAATTTCGGTGAAGAATCCAATTGCACAATTGTGTTTTGTTTTGTTTTTTAGCAGTGAGTTTTATGTGAAGGTTTTTAATACAATTAGTTTTAATATTATTATTACTACAATTGGCCAAAATAGCAATTTAATCATTTTGTATAGCCTTGTAGTTTCTGTCGTTGTTGTTTTGTGTTTCATAATTGTTGTACTGTTTAAATTTTGCCAAAAAGCCTATAATACAATGGTTCTCACCCAGGGGGCTCCAGTAGACTTCCAAGGGGGTCTCAAAATGACTTACAATTGTTTAAATTAAGTCAAAATAAGCATTAAAATAAGCCCAAACAACAAAAAGTTATTTCTAATTTTTTGCCATTATTTAAAGAGTACAGTAGTTAGACTGGACACAAAAGCGAAATGGGAGTGAGAGGATTACGAGCAGGGATTCCAATTTAGGTTGCCCCAATCATCGTGAAGGCTACTGTCTCTGACATTATTTATTTTTTTATTCACCCCTTCAGATCTCTATTCCTGGGAAAGTCATGTAAATTATTAAAATCTTACAACTCACATTTATAATGAACATACAGTTTACGAAGCTTCAAAATATATTATCAGGTATTAACGAGAAACCACTAGCCCCGGCCTTCCCTGCATATCATTGGGTTCAGCTGTCTGACAACAGGTGTGG